GATGGTATTTTATTCCTTTTCCTATTTCGGATTTTACAAGCATGCAGGAGTTTTAATTTGTCAATGAACTGTTTCAACAAACTTATCTTGTGATTTCACTGCCATCCAAAAGAAATGCATTTAATACGCTAGGCGACAAATGCTTCAAAATTAAAAACAATTTTAAAAGTTAAAATTTAAGAGGCAGAGCTGGCGATTGGAGAGAAAGTATTGGTCAGTATAACTAAAATATACTCATTAATTTAAAAGTATATGAATAGCTTATATATATATATATATATATATATATATGTCATTCGCAGACAGTACTGTTCACAATATTAATAGACAACAGCATGGTCTCTCATCTTTATATCTTGCTGCAATCGCTTTCTAAAGTTTTTGATGAGATTTGAACTTTTGAAGTCTTTTCTGGGATTTTCTTCCATACTTCAATGGTTACACGTTCTAATCCCTGAAGGTTTTTTGGTGACCGACGATTTATTTGAACTTTCAATTCTTGCCATAGATTTTCAATAGGATTCAACTCATTGAAGGCCATGGAAGAACTGTAATCTGCTTTTTCTAAAGTCAGGCAGTCACTGATTTAGACGTATGTTTGGGATAATTATCTTGCTGGAAAATAAATCACCGACCTAGATGAAGAAAGTTTAGATTTTCATCTTGAATTTTGGTTTGCAGATTTCATTATTCCTCTTATTGCAATTAATTGCCCAGACGACGTTAAGCTAAAACAATCCCAAAACATCATCGAGCCGCCTGTGTTCTTTGGGAGGAATACTTGCACCAAATCTTCTGTACATCATTATGTTGAAAAAGCTCAATTTTTGTTTCCTCACTCCTTAGCACTTGTTCCTAAGAGCTATTTTCTTTGTCCAAGAACATTTTGGCAAAATTAAACCGAGATACATGGTTTGCGAAGAGAGGTTTGTCGTGGTCGGTTTCCATACAACTCATTTCTTTTTAAACGCCGTTGTATTGTGCGAGTATTTACGCTGACACCGATCGTATTCAAACTTTTGGTGATGTCTTTCAAAACAACTCTTGGGTTTATATTAACCTCGCGACAAAGTTTTCTCGGTGACAATTTGGGTTTTCTTCCACGCCCAAGCAAGTTCTCTGTCGTGGTTTAAACTGGACTGTGCCATAGGTCTAGGGATAGCTAACCGGTTTGAAATAGCGCTGTAACTATTTCCCGACTTGGGGAAGTTAATAATTCTCTGTCTCAAGTCAACGCTAATCTCCTTTGTCTTTCCCCATCGTGTTGTTAACGTAAGAATAACAATGGTGACACTGTATGCACCACAGGATGTTCTTTGTTGGAATTATCACAAATATCCTACTGAATAAATAGTCTAGAATGCTTTACCGATAAAATAATTATGTAAATTACTTATACTTGCATGAATCAATCAATTTAAAAAGATATTTTCTACTGTACGAATAATGTTGTCTTTTCCTATTTTTCGTAATAAGCCTGTCAAATTTGTTGTACAATCTATTGTTCTGAAAATTGAATTTTATATTTCTTTTTTTTTTGTGCTTATTAACATCTAAAAATCTTGGCATCAGATGGGCATTGGATTGTGAGAAATGGATAAAAATATTCAAAATTGATGAGTGCACGGATAATTTCGTCGTTGACTATAGTTAATATTATAACCAGATTGATGGTGTCGCCATGGGCAGCCCATTAGGCCAATTATTCTCTAAATTCTATATGGTCCATTTTGAAGACAAAATTTTTAATAAATTATAAAAAATACCACTATTTATGTAAGATTTATATATGCTACAGAGATCAAATGCATCAAACTAACAAAAAACGAAGGTAAGTAGAACATTATCTGCACTTTCGCCATAACATATCTTTAGGTTTGTTACATTCACTTTTGCACATGGTTTTATAGATATAGACAATATAGACAACACTTCATAGTGAATGACTTGATGGTCGGTTTAGGCGAGAGACTCTGCCAATGACTATGTAAAATTGATTTCTATGTCCATACTATGGGTGTGTGTATGTGTGTAAAGTATCGCGCAGTCGGTGCTGATACTAATTAAACAGTGCACTATGTATAATAACAGAAATAAAATTACTACTATTAGTGTATATATATATATATATATATATATATATATATATATAGAGAGAGAGAGAGAGAGAGAGAGAGCGACTACACACAATGCACCACTGACCTTTATATATAAATAGCCGAGAAAAAAAACAACACTAGTTGCCAGACGATTGCGTCTAGCATGAAACAGCCTGTCGCCTCTAATTGTTGACTTCAATGTTCACTTTTACACACACACACACACACACACACACACACACACACACACACACACATATATATAGATATAAAGAAACATATATATACATATATATATACACATATATACAGAGTGCGATCATAAATTGGCGTCTAAATTACGCAAAAATGAAAATAAAACTGACATGTTATTTTAACAGATATATTTACCAAAATTACACAAAAATGTCTTCAAATACCAACGAATAAATTTATTCAATAAAATCACCATTGGCTTGAAAAGCGGCTTCCAGAGGACTTCGGAATCTCCTGCAACTCTTCTGGACGATCTCCTTGTTTAAGTTGGTAAATGCTGCCATAATCCTTGCCTTAAGTTCATCTTTGGTGTTAGAAGAAGTTTTGGTGGTCTCTCGCTCAACTGTGCCCCACACATAATAATCAAGGGAGTCACTCACTGGGGAGTTAGGTGGCCAGATGCAAGGTGTTAAGTGATAGCAGAAATTGTCTGACAGCCATGACTGAGTTCGTCTGATTGTGTCGCATGGTGTAGAGAATTCTAGCAGCCACCTTCTTGACACAGGATAACATTACCACCACAAGGGACTTGCTGTAGGCATCCGTGTTGAGTCTGAGACACTCACCAAAAAATTCGGGTGTTCTTTTCTTTTCAGAACGATCAGAGTGGATTTTCCGAACGTCATGGTGCTCTTCTTCTCACAGACGAAACTCAAGTGACTTGTTATATTGTGCAGTCGACAAAATAAAACAATGCGCATGCGTAAAATTAAAAAATAAAATGGCGACAATTTACCTTTGTGTGTGTGTGTGTGTGTGTGTGTGTGTGTAAAAACTGAATTATGACTAAAAATATACCTGTCGTCATTCATATTTCAGAGACGAAAAATACCGAAGAATTGGACAATGACAGCATCTTTTCTTAATTATTAGTTTCCCAAGTATTTTTCGAAGTAGAACATATATTATGTTTGACCATCATGTCCTAAACTCTAAATGTGATAAAAGTCCCGGTCAAAGTTCATACAACGTTTGGTTCAGACACACACTTCAGATTCTCTTAAAGCAGCTTCTCAAGAAGAGACACACACGCTTGTGCATATGAGAGAGGTGTGTGAAATGGTACACACACACACACACACACACACACACACACACACACACACACACACATATACCAATATATCCTTGCCTTCATACATATGTATGTGTGTGTATGTTTTGTGTGTGTGTGTCAGGGTGTGTGTGTGCGTGCAGAGTGTTAATTTCTCCAATCAAAGATAGCGCTCCATTGAAGCAAAACATAAAGAAACGGAGTAAAAGGCAACCCCATGCGACTGAGAAGGTCGGTAGTGTGTTATAATGCTCGGGTGGAATACACCCAAGCATCCGGGGCCAAGCGTACCTGAAATGAAAGCTTTCAGCCACGCAGACCCCAACCACTACTTTTTTCACACCCCCGTCTCGCGGGCCCCATTTCGACTTGAGCTTTTCTGGCTCTTTTAGAAGGTCTAGCGGGGTGGGGGTGCTAAGTATGGCCGAGACTGTACCGGATTGCATATACGACACACAAATGAATCTGCTTTTTGTCACACAGAGACACACACCTTGCAACATACACTCGCACTTGTAGACATAGACTCATATATAAACACACTCATGCGCTAAGCTCTGACACGTACATATACACACACACACACATGCTGTTATATGCGCACAAAGACACAAACACACATGCATGCATAAGCACAAACGAGTGCGTGCATGCATAAGCACACAACATGCGCGCCTAAACACACACGCACATACTGACGCACATACGCACATACGCGTTCAAAAGTGCAAACATGCGCGTGCATACACATAAGAACAAACATAGACACATACGCACAGACACACACATACACACGCACGCACGCACACGCTCATGTGGACATACGCGTACACATTTACATCGACTGATCATGCAATTATAAAGTTTTAGAGAAAATAGAAACAAAATGCCCCCTTCCATTTAACATCAAAAGAAACAGTTGACATTTCTAGGGCATAAGATGAGGAAAGAGGGCTTGGAAAATTTGATACACACAAGAAATACTGAAGGCCATAAGTTACTTAGCGAGCAGAACAAAATTTAGAAGAGATGACAAAAAGACAATATTTACTAAGAGATACAAAGGACAGGACATCGTGGAGAGCCATGATCGTCAACGTCCTGAAAGAGTCATGGCACATAGAAGAAGAATGAGCTTGAGTAAATGGATAGAGGCACAGAGTTTGCAAGAAATAACAAAACAAAATTTATTAAGAGCACCAAAGGACAGGAAATTGTGGAGAGCCATGATCGTCTACATTCTGAGATAACACTCCACCTGAAGAAGAAGATCTCGGAAAATGATTTCAAATAATGATTCGAGCAAAGGAGTAGAAATCTTCACAGGGAGAGTATTTTGTTGACGGTGACAGCAGCTAATAAATTCCGGATAAGCAAACTTTTGGTTTTACCCGACCATTTTGAGAATTACACCGCCACACGTTATAGATAAAAGAATCATCCATCTTAATAGGTCCTTTAGTTCAATTCCTTTGGTACCGAACTATGCAGCCATTTCCATGTGTAGGGGTTCCAAGGTACTCACCAGTGAAGGGACATGACACGTATGCTCAAACGATATACACACAGTCAAGTTTACAACAGCAGGGTGTTACGGCCATAACACTTTGAAACATCGGTTCTTGTACGATCACCAAAGTTAAGTAAAATCGAACTTGGTCAGTATCCAGATGGGTGACCGCTTGGGAAACCCAGGTGCTGTCAGTTTGGATGTACAAAGGATGATGCTCGGAATTTGAAATCGGAGAGCCAAGTTCCAATTCCAATTAGGTTCTTTATATTCTCTTACGCGCAGATACCTTTTGGAAAGTTATGAATTTACCTCTTCTCCCTCCTCCTATGGGTTAATTAGTAAGATTTGTATCAGTAAATCATTACTATCTCCAAAATTCTTAAAAGGTAAAAATATTTTCTGACTTTAAATAGCCTGAAAAAGGTTGATAAACCGTAAAAAAAAACAATCAATGAAAAACATGGCGGTTACATCGACAATTATTCCAATACATAATTGAAAAAAAATTGTCTATTCTAATCTATACTAGGAATGATTGCAAAATACTTTCCCTTCTCAATTTATAGGCAGAAGCACCCAAATGCATCCTGGGATTTTTTCCCAGCCAAATAAATCGGTTCTCGGTTTCATATGACTCAGTCCCGGTCTGTATTGAAGCCAGAATGCTTCGTTCATTTATACGAATTTGCTGCTGTGTGTCAACCCAAATTCTTAATTTGTGAACTTCTTGCCATATTATTGTTAATTTGACTTACATATATTGTTTGCTTGCATTATTTATGGCATTATTCTTTTCTTTCTCTTGTTATTGCTTTTGCTTATTGTTTATTGCAAACTTTATCAAATCTGTTTGTTGGACAGTTCTGTCATTCGTTTGTCAAATCTGTTTGTCAAATCTTTGACAAATGTTTGTCAAATCTGTTTGTTGGACAGTTCTGTCATTCGTTTGTCAAATCTGTTTGTCAAATCTTTGACAAATGTTTGTCAAATCTGTTTGTTGGACAGTTCTGCCATTCGTTTATTTACATTTAACGATGGCTACTTGCTCCACAAAAATTTGGTTATATTATATCATATTTTATCTCAATAAAACGTGTTTTCAAGAGGTAAAAAAGGAGAAATAAAAAATGACAATTACAAGAAAAATAAGTTCCGACCGACAGATTTTGATTTCTCATGTCGAAGTAAAGAACAAGTTACGAAAGGAAACCAGCAGCGAAAAAAAAAATCATTCCCATTTGAGTATAAAAAGCAAAACATTCAAGAATGATGTTTGAGGGATTATTCAAGAATCGAGATGAACTTCTTAAATCTGGCTGATCAGAATAACCGAAAAGGCGGCCTGTGTATGAAAGATTCCACTTTTCTTTTCGATGAAATTGGGTGCTGGTTCAATCTCACCTTCACCTTAACTTCATTTGGGTTGTAGCAGATTCTGCCAGAATGGCTGAGCTACTTAATGCTTCAGACTCAGGGAAGTCTGACAGGAGCCGATGGATTGTTCTGCTTCATGAAAATGGATCTGGATTTAAATCCTGCTGACGAAGGAAAAATTGCTTTTCGATTTTATCAGTGAAATATCTCGGTAGGTACTGGAATAATTGTCGATGTAACCGCTATGTTTTTCATTGATTATTTTTTACGGATTATCAACCGTTTTCAGGTTATTTAAAGTCATAAAATATTTTAGATGTTAAGAATTTTTGTAGATAGTGATGCAAGTCTTGCTAATTAACCCGTAGGAGGAGGGAGAAGAGGTAAATTCATAACTTTCAAAAGGGTATCTGCGCGTAAGAGAATATAAAGAACCTAATTGGAATTCTTACTTGGCTCTCTGATTTCAAATTCCGAACATCCAAACTGTCACCCATCTAGATACTAACCAAGCTCGATCTTGCTTAACTTTGGTGATTGTACAATTAGAAGGACGGTTGCCGGGATTACAGTCAGAATGACCGAGATGTTTAATGTTCCACAATGAAGTAAATAGGAATCGTACTGTGGCGAATCATCGTGCATGTTCTAAGTGACGAATCCGTAAAATGATTAACAAAAATAAAAGAATTTCGTTTTCGACCAGAATGGTTGAGCCATCAAAGTCAGCATCAGTCACGCTACAAAAGAAAACTAAATAATCTGCTTATCCTGATTGAATGTCACTCTTTCTTTCTTTCTTTCTTTCTTTCTTTCTTTCTTTCTTTCTCAGTATGTTCGTTCGTTCTTTCTTTCTTTCTTTCTTTCTTTCTCAATATGTTCATTCTTTCTTTCTTTCTTTCTTTCTTTCTCAGTATGTTCATTCATTCTTTCTTTCTTTCTCAATATGTTCATTCATTCATTCATTCCTTCTTTCTCAATATGTTCATTCATTCATTCATTTTCTTTCTTTCTTTCTTTCATTCTTTCTTTCTTTCATTCTTTCTTTTCTTTCTCAATATGTTCATTCATTCATTTTTTCTCAATATGTTTATTCATTCATTCATTTTTCTTTCTTTCTTTCTTTCTTTCTTTTCTTTCATTTTCTTTTCTTTCTTTCTCAATATGTTCATTCATTCATTCATTCATTCATTCCTTCTTTCTCAATATGTTCATTCATTCATTCATTTTCTTTCTTTCTTTCTTTCATTCTTTCTTTTTTCTCAATATGTTCATTCATTCATTCTTTTCTCAATATGTTTTTTCATTCATTCATTTTCTTTTTTCTTTCTTTTCTTTCTTTCTTTCTTTCATTCTTTCTTTCTTTCTCAATATGTTCATTCATTCATTCTTTCTCAATATGTTCATTCATTCATTCATTTTCTTTCTTTCTTTCTTTCTTTCTTTCTTTCTTTCATTCTTTCTTTCTTTCTCAATATGTTCATTCATTCATTCATTCATTCATTCCTTCTTTCTCAATATGTTCATTCATTCATTCATTTTCTTTCTTTCTTTCTTTCATTCTTTCTTTCTTTCTCAATATGTTCATTCATTCATTCTTTCTCAATATGTTTATTCATTCATTCATTTTCTTTCTTTCTTTCTTTCTTTCTTTCTTTCATTCATTCTTTCTTTCTTTTCTCAATATGTTCATTCATTCATTCATTCATTCATTCATTCCTTCTTTTTCTCAATATGTTTCATTCATTCATTCATTTTTTCTTTCTTTTCTTTCTTTCATTCTTTCTTTCTTTCTCAATATGTTCATTCATTCATTCTTTCTCAATATGTTTATTCATTCATTCATTTTTCTTTCTTTTCTTTCTTTTCTTTCTTTCTTTCTTTTCTTTCATTCTTTCTTTCTTTCTCAATATGTTCATTCATTCATTCTTTCTCTCAATATGTTCATTCATTCATTCATTTTTTTCTTTCTTTTTTTCTTTTTTCTTTCATTCTTTCTTTTCTTTCTCAATATGTTTCATTCATTCATTCATTCATTCATTCATTCATTCATTCCTTCTTTCTCAATATGTATCATTCATTCATTCATTTTCTTTTCTTTCTTTCTTTCATTCTTTCTTTCTTTCTCAATATGTTCATTCATTCATTCTTTTCTCAATATGTTCATTCATTCATTCATTTTCTTTCTTTCTTTCATTCTTTTTCTTTCTTTCATTCTTTCTTTTCTTTCTCAATATGTTCATTCATTCATTTCTTTTTCTCAATATGTTTATTCATTCATTCATTTTTTCTTTCTTTCTTTTTTTCTTTCTTTCTTTCTTTCTTTTTTCTTTTCTTTCTCAATATGTTTCATTCATTCATTCATTCATTCATTCATTCCTTCTTTCTCAATATGTTTCATTCATTCATTCATTTTCTTTCTTTCTTTCTTTCATTCTTTTTTTCTTTCTCAATATGTTCATTCATTCATTTCTTTCTCAATATGTTTATTCATTCATTCATTTTCTTTCTTTCTTTCTTTTCTTTCTTTTCTTTCTTTCATTCTTTCTTTTCTTTCTCAATATGTTCATTCATTCATTCTTTCTCAATATGTTCATTCATTCATTCATTTTCTTTCTTTTCTTTCTTTCTTTCTTTCTTTCATTCTTTTCTTTCTTTCTCAATATTCATTCATTCATTCATTCATTCATTCATTCATTCCTTCTTTCTCAATATGTTCATTCATTCATTCATTTTCTTTCTTTCTTTCTTTCATTCTTTCTTTCTTTCTCAATATGTTCATTCATTCATTCTTTCTCAATATGTTTATTCATTCATTCATTTTCTTTCTTTCTTTCTTTCTTTCTTTCTTTCTTTCTTTCTTTCATTCTTTCTTTCTTTCTCAATATGTTCATTCATTCATTCATTCATTCCTTCTTTCTCAATATGTTCATTCATTCATTCATTTTCTTTCTTTCTTTCTTTCATTCTTTTTTTCTTTCTCAATATGTTCATTCATTCATTCTTTCTCAATATGTTTATTCATTCATTCATTTTCTTTCTTTCTTTCTTTCTTTCTTTCTTTCTTTCATTCTTTCTTTCTTTCTCAATATGTTCATTCATTCATTCTTTCTCAATATGTTCATTCATTCATTCATTTTCTTTCTTTCTTTCTTTCTTTCTTTCTTTCATTCTTTCTTTCTTTCTCAATATGTTCATTCATTCATTCATTCATTCATTCATTCATTCCTTCTTTCTCAATATGTTCATTCATTCATTCATTTTCTTTCTTTCTTTCTTTCATTCTTTCTTTTCTTTCTCTCAATATGTTCATTCATTCATTCATTCTTTCTCAATATGTTTATTCATTCATTCATTTTCTTTTTTTTCTTTCTTTTTTCTTTCTTTTTTCTTTTCATTCTTTCTTTCTTTCTCAATATGTTCATTCATTCATTCTTTCTCAATATGTTCATTCATTCATTCATTTTCTTTCTTTTCTTTCTTTTCTTTCTTTCTTTCATTCTTTTCTTTCTTTTCTCAATATGTTCATTCATTCATTCATTCATTCATTCATTTTCCTTCTTTCTCAATATGTTCATTCATTCATTCATTTTCTTTCTTTCTTTCTTTCATTCTTTTTTCTTTCTTTCTCAATATGTTCATTCATTCATTCTTTCTCAATATGTTCATTCATTCATTCATTTTCTTTTCTTTCTTTCTTTCTTTTCTTTCTTTCTTTTTTTCTTTCTTTCATTTTCTTTCTCAATATGTTCATTCATTCATTCTTTTTTTCTTTCTCAATCTTTCTTTCATTCATTCATTCTTTTTCATTCTTTCTTTTCTTTTCTTTCTTTCTTTCATTCATTCATTCATTTCATTTCATTTCTCAATATGTTCATTCATTCATTCATTTTCATTCATTCATTCATTCTTTCTTTTCTTTCTCAATATGTTCATTCATTCATTCATTTTCTTCATTTTCATTCTTTCTTTCTTTCTTTCTTTCTTTCATTCTTTCTTTCTTTCTCAATATGTTCATTCATTCATTCATTCATTCATTCATTCCTTCTTTCTCAATATGTTCATTCATTCATTCATTTTCTTTCTTTCTTTCTTTCATTTTCTTCTTTTCTTTCTCAATATGTTCATTCATTCATTCTTTTCTCAATATGTTCATTCATTCATTCATTTTCTTTTCTTTCTTTCTTTCTTTTTCTTTCTTTCTTTCATTCTTTCTTTTTTTTCTCAATATGTTCATTCATTCATTTCTTTCTCAATATGTTCATTCATTCATTCATTTTCTTTCTTTCTTTTTCTTTCTTTCTTTCTTTCATTCTTTCTTTCTTTCTCAATATGTTCATTCATTCATTCATTCATTCATTCATTCATTCCTTCTTTTCTCAATATGTTTCATTCATTCATTCATTTTCTTTTTTTTCTTTCTTTCATTTCTTTTTTTTTTTTCTCAATATGTTCATTCATTCATTCTTTTCTCAATATGTTTATTCATTCATTCATTTTCTTTCTTTCTTTCTTTCTTTCTTTTCTTTTTCTTTCTTTCATTCTTTTCTTTCTTTCTCAATATGTTCATTCATTCATTCATTCATTCATTCATTCCTTCTTTCTCAATATATTTCATTCATTCATTCATTTTCTTTCTTTTCTTTCTTTCATTCTTTCTTTCTTTCTCAATATGTTCATTCATTCATTCTTTTCTCAATATGTTTATTCATTCATTCATTTTCTTTCTTTCTTTCTTTTCTTTTCTTTCTTTCTTTTCTTTCATTCTTTCTTTCTTTCTCAATATGTTCATTCATTCATTCTTTCTCAATATGTTCATTCATTCATTCATTTTTTCTTTCTTTCTTTTCTTTCTTTCTTTCATTTCTTTCTTTCTTTCTCAATATGTTCATTCATTCATTCATTCATTCATTCATTCCTTCTTTCTCAATATGTTCATTCATTCATTCATTTTCTTTCTTTCTTTCTTTCATTCTTTCTTTCTTTCTCAATATGTTCATTCATTCATTCTTTCTCAATATGTTCATTCATTCATTCATTTTCTTTCTTTCTTTCTTTCATTCTTTCTTTCTTTCATTCTTTCTTTCTTTCTCAATATGTTCATTCATTCATTCTTTCTCAATATGTTTATTCATTCATTCATTTTCTTTCTTTCTTTCTTTCTTTCTTTCTTTCATTCTTTCTTTCTTTCTCAATATGTTCATTCATTCATTCATTCATTCATTCATTCATTCATTCCTTCTTTCTCAATATGTTCATTCATTCATTCATTTTCTTTCTTTCTTTCTTTCATTCTTTCTTTCTTTCTCAATATGTTCATTCATTCATTCTTTCTCAATATGTTTATTCATTCATTCATTTTTCTTTCTTTCTTTTTTCTTTCTTTTTTTTTCTTTCATTCTTTCTTTCTTTCTCAATATGTTTCATTCATTCATTCTTTTCTCAATATGTTCATTCATTCATTCATTTTCTTTCTTTCTTTCTTTTCTTTCTTTTCTTTCATTCTTTCTTTCTTTCTCAATATGTTCATTCATTCATTCATTCATTCATTCATTCCTTCCTTCTTTTTCAATATGTTCATTCATTCATTCATTTTCTTTCTTTCTTTCTTTCATTCTTTCTTTCTTTTTCTCAATATGTTCATTCATTCATTCTTTCTCAATATTTTTCATTCATTCATTTTTCATTTTTTTCTTTCTTTCTTTCTTTCTTTCTTTCTTCTTTCTTTCATTCTTTCTTTCTTTCTCAATATGTTCATTCATTCATTCATTCATTCCTTCTTTTCTCAATATGTTTCATTCATTCATTCATTTTCTTTCTTTCTTTCTTTCTTTCATTCTTTCTTTCTTTCTCAATATGTTCATTCATTCATTCTTTCTCAATATGTTTATTCATTCATTCATTTTCTTTCTTTCTTTCTTTCTTTCTTTCTTTCTTCTTTTCTTTCTTTCTTTCAATATGTTCATTCATTCATTCTTTCTCAATATGTTCATTCATTCATTCATTTTCTTTTTTTCTTTCTTTTCTTTTTTTTCTTTCTTTCTTTCTTTCTTTCATTCTTTCTTTCTTTCTCAATATGTTCATTCATTCATTCATTCATTCATTCATTCATTCCTTCTTTCTCAATATGTTCATTCATTCATTCATTTTCTTTCTTTCTTTCTTTCATTCTTTCTTTCTTTCTCAATATGTTCATTCATTCATTCTTTCTCAATATGTTTATTCATTCATTCATTTTCTTTCTTTCTTTCTTTCTTTCTTTCTTTCATTCTTTCTTTCTTTCTCAATATGTTCATTCATTCATTCTTTCTCAATATGTTCATTCATTCATTCATTTTCTTTCTTTCTTTCTTTCTTTCTTTCTTTCATTCTTTCTTTCTTTCTCAATATGTTCATTCATTCATTCATTCATTCATTCATTCATTCCTTCTTTCTCAATATGTTCATTCATTCATTCATTTTTTTCTTTCTTTCTTTCTTTCATTCTTTCTTTTCTTTCTCAATATGTTCATTCATTCATTCTTTCTCAATATGTTTCATTCATTCATTCATTTTCTTTCTTTCTTTTTTTTCTTTCTTTCTTTTTCTTTCATTCTTTCTTTCTTTCTCAATATGTTCATTCATTCATTCTTTTTCTCAATATGTTCATTCATTCATTCATTTTTTTCTTTTTTTTCTTTCTTTCTTTTTTTTCATTCTTTCTTTCTTTCTCAATATGTTCATTCATTCATTTCATTCATTCATTCATTCCTTCTTTCTCAATATGTTTCATTCATTCATTCATTTTCTTTCTTTCTTTCTTTCATTCTTTCTTTCTTTCTCAATATGTTCATTCATTCATTCTTTCTCAATATGTTCATTCATTCATTCATTTTCTTTCTTTCTTTCTTTCTTTCTTTCTTTCTTTCATTCTTTCTTTCTTTCTCAATATGTTCATTCATTCATTCATTCATTCATTCATTCCTTCTTTCTCAATATGTTCATTCATTCATTCATTTTCTTTCTTTCTTTCTTTCATTCTTTCTTTCTTTCTCAATATGTTCATTCATTCATTCTTTCTCAATATGTTCATTCATTCATTCATTTTTTCTTTCTTTCTTTCTTTTTTCTTTCTTTCTTTCATTCTTTCTTTTCTTTCTCAATATGTTCATTCATTCATTCTTTCTCAATATGTTTCATTCATTCATTCATTTTCTTTCTTTTCTTTCTTTCTTTCTTTCTTTCATTCTTTTCTTTTTCTCAATATGTTCATTCATTCATTCATTCATTCATTCATTCATTCCTTCTTTCTCAATATGTTCATTCATTCATTCATTTTCTTTCTTTCTTTCTTTCATTCTTTCTTTCTTTCTCAATATGTTCATTCATTCATTCTTTCTCAATATGTTCATTCATTCATTCATTTTCTTTCTTTCTTTCTTTCTTTCTTTCTTTCATTCTTTCTTTCTTTCTCAATATGTTCATTCATTCATTCATTCATTCATTCATTCATTCCTTCTTTCTCAATATGTTCATTCATTCATTCATTTTCTTTCTTTCTTTCTATCTCAGTATGTTCTTTCTTTCTTTCTCAGCATGTACATATCTATCTATCTATCTATCTATCTATCTATCTATCTATCTATCTATCTATCTATCTATCTCATTCTTGAACGCAACATCCAAATCGTTGCTGGTCATTTCGTCCTTGCGTTTGGCACAGTACAAAGTTCGTCAATCCTGGTATAATACGAACTCGACAGCAATTCGAACTCGGCTCTCTAATTTCTCCTTCCGAACCGCTCTCCATTGCACCACCGCATTTATGCAGCAGATTCCCAAGGTGATGCAAAACAGAAGACAGCCCTGACGTTCACCGACTGATGTGAAAAAAGCACATGCTAAATCTCTACTCTGGCTCTTGGTTTATTATACAGCTGCTGGATAGTATGGATCAACTTCTTGTATTTGCCCCTTCTTTGTCCACAACGCCTTCTGGCGCTATATGTTCTTTGGCACTATTTTCACAGCGAAACCATCACACTATTTAGGATGACTTTCACCATCACAACTTGTGTGACTAATCAGGTTTTCAGTTCTGTCGTTTTGACATTTTTAGACATTCTCCTTTTTAGTCTGGGAATGGGAGTGTGATAATCAGTGGCTGGGTCTATGTGGTTGGACACTGATTGCTAAATCTTGTTATAGATTTGTATCATGTTCATCACTGACTCTTTGCCGCCATGTACGACGAGTTCAGCAGAGATGTTGTCAATTCTAGCTGCCTTAACATTTCTTCAGTTGTTTTGCTGTTGCTTCCATTTATCTCTGATGTATGAAGAAGCCAATTATAATTTTAGGATCTCTGGAGACTACTAAGACCTCAGGGAATTCTCTGACTGTGTGGTTTGTACAACACGCGCGTCGGTACACTGTCCGACTCTTCCTGGATTCTGTAAGGAATTTTCCCGTTTTTTGTTTGGTATGGAATTGATTCCATTCTGTTTCCGCTTGCTAAGATCTTTCGAAAATACTTACTGCTGTCTTCTTTTAGATATTATCCAATCTCTGAGCATCGTTGGTTGATCAATTCGTCTTTTTCATCTTTATTTTCTTGCTGACTTTTCTTTACACTCCTGCTCGTGTGATGTAGGTTTGCTTTCCGGCAGATCCCACTGCCAATGATGTCTCTGCGATCCAATGTAAAGGTTCGACTTTCCAAATTTGCAATCGTCTCGATCATCTGATTTCTTTCAATTCCATCCTGTAATCGAATCTTGAAAAAGAAAGCGAAAACCAAGTTTTTTCTGTTCGTCTGTTCATATTTCCATCAGAAAAGAGGACCGCACACGATCTTTCAATCCGTAACTAACAACAGTTAAATGACACATTTCTCCTTTGTTTGCTGATCGCTTGAAAAAATGTTTACAATTTTGCAAATATAAACGACAAACAAGGTACTACGATTAAGATTTTTATTTAATTTTTCGTGTTTTCGAACAAGTGCTTTCTTTTTTGTACACAGGGTGAGTAGAAACTGTTCAAATGTTCTGTAATTCATGCCCCAAAAAGAAAACAGTTTTTTTGAACACAAGAAAAATTAAATAAAAAGCTTAATCGTAGTACCTTGTCTATCGTTTTTAATGAAACATGCATAAATGAAGGATTGCCGCCTAAATACACATATATATATATATATATATATATATATATACATATATATATATATATATATATATATATATATATATATATATATATATATATATATTATATATTTAGTTTATGAAAAAATAGGTAATCCGTATGGGTAAACCCAAGGAGGATAAAATCCAGAGAGCTCAATGTAAACCCAGAACAAATAATTTAAATAAAAACAGACTACTTTAAGGTTCCATGTAATAAATTATTTCACCACAGCCCTTTTAAAGGACTGCGGATCATCAGACTTTACTTCCAAAGGTTGAAACAAAAATGAAAAGAAAATTTACACATTTTTGACGGGCCGTATTAAGCATATGTAAATTAACGAAGTGAGGAAGTGAGTGGGGAGAGAGGAGACATGAGTGAGTTAGATGTAATTTAATATTTCTATTCTTTTATACTTAAAATTACTTGAGGAGGTCCAGATTGTCAAAGACGATCGCAAGAGTGTGAAACACAGGGTCACAAACTCACATCAGTACAACTATATATATATATATATATATATATATATATATATATATATATATATATATATATAAAATATATAAAAAGCCGCTAAGATGCAATGTGTTTAATGACTGTGAAAGAATATAAAAAAAAAACAATTTAAGGAGAGAGAACAAGAATTAAGAAAACAGAAAATAACGATTGACATTGCATTTAAATTTTTGAAGATCAAAGTTTACAAGGAAGCCAGAAGCCGGAAGACAGTTTCACAAGCGAGAAGTGTGAGAAGTGTGAGAAAAGAAACTATTACAATATAACTTACGGTTACATCTAGCCATTTCAACAGTAAAATGTTGAGACCTTTCCGCCAATCTAGTACTGCACTTAAATACTTTTTATTTTTTTTCTCGCGCCACACATCTGCAATATTCAACTCATCTCCTTTGAGCCTTGCATGCCAATAATGTCTTTGGCCGTTTCAGTCATGGCTGAGTTGAAGTTGATCGTCAACAATTCAGTCTCTCCTCACCCCCACCCCATCCTCAGCGTGAGTAACGGTGGTAGATTTCTCATGGTTGCTTGATATAACCCAAAGATGGTCGGATCCTTCAGCACTTCGGCGTTGAATTTGAACTTGATGTTCTTCGGCTTAATAATCATTTTCAACCTCACCATAAAGCTGTTCAAGTTTGCAAGATCATGGTCACTTATGTCGGCACCAGTGAATATATTTGTTTTTGATTTGTTAATGGCCGATCTAGACTAGAATCTAATCAATATAATTATATTGGATTCTGTTTGGCGCATGTCAAGTCTAACATCCACTTCAAGAATATTAGCCATTATCAAGTGGTTATAGTTGTCAAATTCCAGCAGGCGACTGCCTCTTTAGTTGGTGACCCCATGACAAGATAGGGCTACCAGATTTTCTCCGAAGTCTTTAACACTTGTTGAATTTTGACGTCTTCCTTCTTTACGAGGTTTCAGACTCAAAGATGATTTAATATTGGCTACAAAAGAAAATTTCTGAATGGTATTTAAAGCTGTGGGAAGTTATCAAACTTTTTTTCATTGCTTTTCCAATTTCATATATGTCTAAATGTGCTATTAGCGCAATTACACAGCTTCTTATTAAAAAAAAGGAAACCGGCTGCAAATTGTAAGACGAGAGGATCTACGATTCCTTCTAAGCAGCATGGAACCTAGAGTAAGAGCCTTAGCCAGTAAGCACCAAAGTCAAGCATCGCATTGAAAACATTGAGATAAGCTATCAAATGAACCCAGAGTGTTGTAATTTTCGCTAATCTTCGTCACCAAAATATTCTAACATAGGGAAGGTTACTGAATAGAATCGGTTTGTAATGAACGATAATACTTAGGACACGAATAACGCATATAAGATTCGCCAGCGGCGTGTAGAAGAAGTAGTCAACTACTAGAAGTGAGTCAAGTGAATTGCACAATGAATCTCCAACTACAGGATATCTACCAACCGACCCACGCGGTCAGATGCGGCACAAGGCCAAATTTAATATGGGGTATCCGAGCTCGTAGACTCGGCCAAAAATTCACCGTTGACCCCATATTACGGGGTCGGGTAGCTGTTTCCCGAGATGAGATTCTGCCTTTCGACATAGCCTCGTCTGTGAATCCTCTCTGCCCGGAGGCAGAGAGTTTAACCAGCACAGCTGGAGACGAATTTCCAACTGCAAACCAACATACAGTATTCACTACTGTATTTAAGGGAATGGGTACATACCCATTATCGTCCGTAGATATACAACACAGAGTAAGAGCCTTAGCCAATAAGCTCCAAAGTCAACCATCGCATTGAAAACAGTGAGATAGGCTATCAAATAAAAGTTTTTTTGGCATTTTAACCGTTAACATTTATATTAAATTTATTTTTGCTCTAATACCTAAATGTTAGCTTTGCCATGAAAGATGAATTCAGTATAATATTCGAAATTAAATTTGACAGAAAACGTTTGCACCCAAAGGGGGAATGGTTGAAAAAAGGCTGCGAAACACAATGATTTAGAGTATTTTGATAAAACTGCCAGCACCTAAGCGTGGAGCCTATGATGTCTCCGGTGATGAGGAATATAATATGCATCGATCTATGTTTACAGTGCAGTAGAGTACATGCCTTTATTTAGGAAGAGATTCACCGATGCATCTTGAGCGTAGGCTATCATCACCAAAGTTAAGCAACATTGAGCCTGGTCAGTACCTATATGGGTGACCGCTTGGGAATACCAGATACTGTAAGCTTGGATGTGCGTCTGGTGTAATGGATGACAGCGCGGAATTTTTAATCGGTGACCCGGGTTCCAACTCCAGCTGGTTTCTTTATATTTATTTACCCTCAAATACCCTGGAGAAAGGTAGGAATCCAACTCTTCTCACCCCAGCTATGGGTTAATTAGTAAAACTAAAATAATTAATCATTATCATTAAATAATTATCCCCCCCCCAGCTAAAAAAATATTTTCCATTCTAAAAACATTTTCTAGGTTTAAATAACTTGCAAAAAGTTGATAAGCCGTGAAAAATAAATGAATCAATCAATCAGTTCTCAACCATGTTTCTCCCTGTTCTACGAGGTGTGTCAAGTATAGCGTTTCACTTCATGTCCGTTCTTGGAATTTCCGCACAATCTATGTAGCAATGGTGATTTTCCTTGCTATGTTCTCGTTTTTTCCATCAGTCGTATACCTGACACTTCCAACCTAATTGGATAGATAGATACATAAGAACAGATTGAGATAGATAGATAGATAGATAGATAGATAGATAGATAGATAGATAAGGAACAGACTGAGATAGATAGATAGATAGATAGATAGATAGATAGATAAGGAACAGACTGAGATAGATAGATAGATAGATAGATAGATAGATAGATAGATAGATGGGGGTCGCATTATACACTGGTAATTTTTTGAAGAGGTTAAAAATCATGCATTTTCAGTGCCCAGTTGTTCTATACACAGGTAATACTTTTTCTGAGGAGGTT